GGTCCTGGTAACTTACTTTGTATGTAATGTGGCTATAGCGCCCTTTCCTAAATACAGTTCCTGGTAACTGACTTGGTGTGTAATGTGGCTATAGCGCCCTTTCCTAAATACAGTTCCTGGTAACTGGCCTTGTATTTAATCTGGCTATAGCGCCCTCTTATAAATGCATTTCCTGGCAACTCGCCTTGTATGTAATCTGGCTATAGCGCCCTCTTCTAAATACAGTTCCTGGCAACTGGCCTTGTATGTAATTTTGCTATAGCGCCCTTTCCTAAATACAGTTCCTGGCCTTGTATTTAATCTGGCTATAGCGCCCTTTCCTAAATACAGTTCCTGACAGATCACCTTCTAGAAACGTCTGTGTCATGTGATTGTTCGAAGAGTCTATGTTATAGCCGTCTGTGCTAATTACTTGTTGTCAATGATCAACTTGTGGAAATATCCGCTCATTCTGTCCATACTTGTACAGATTGTCATCAATCACCTTTCATATTTCAGGAGACAATATAACACGGTCATTATTTATCGCATGTAATTGTCAATGAACTGTTAATTTCGGGAGACAATATAACACGGTCATTATTTATCGCATGTAATTGTCAATGAACTGTTAATTCCGGGAGAAAATTGTGAAAAGGTGATTAATTGCAACAGATTTTTCATACCGTTTTCTAGAGGCTGGGGGCAAAGCAGAGCGTTGTTTAAATGCGGCATAATAATACTAATTTAACAAATTAGTAATAATCATTATTTTAAAATTAAAAAAGGTGTCCGTTTTTTAGGAACAATGATAATGATAATAATAATAGTAATAATAAAATCCTGAATTACAATTAGATAACATGTTTGAAATAACATATAATGTATTATACAATGATTAGAAGATAACATTTGCAGGAAGGGAGACTCATCTGGCCGGAACCCTTGTGTCCCGGTCCTTATGTTCCGACCGCTATGTCCCGATCCCTGTGTCCTGGCTATATGTCTCCATCCCTGTGTCGTGGCCATATGTCACGATCCCTGTGTCCGGATCCCTGTGTCCCGGCTTTATGTTCCAGCCCCTATATTCCCGCCCCTATGTTCCAGCCCCTATATTCCAGTCCCTATGTTCCTGCCCCTATGTTTCCGCCCCTATGTTCCCGCCCCTATGTTCCCGCCCTATATTCCAGCCCCTATGTTCCAGCCCCTATATTCTAGCCCCTATATTCCAGCCCCTATATTCTAGCCCTATGTTCCAGCCCTATGTTCCAGCTCCCATGTTCTCGCCCCTATGTTCGAGCTCCTATGTTCCCGCCCCTATGTTCCCGCCCCTATGTTCCAGCCCCTATATTCTAGCCCCTATGTTCCAATCCCTATATTCTAGCCCTATGTTCCAGCCCTATATTCTAGCACCTATGTTCCAGCCCCTATATTCCAGCCCTATATTCTAGCCCTATGTTCCCGCCCCTATGTTCCATCCCCTATATTCTAGCACCTATGTTCCAGCCCCTATATTCTAGCCCTATGTTCCAGCCCTATATTCCCACCCCTATGTTCCCGCCCCTATATCCCAGTCCCTATGTTCCAGCCCATATATTCCAGCCCCTATGTTTCAGCCCCTATATTCTAGCCCGTATGTTCCAGCCCCTATATTCTAGCCTTATGTTCCAGCCCTATGTTCCAGCTTCCATGTTCTCGCCCCTATGTTCCCGCCCCTATGTTCGAGCCTCTATGTTCCCGCCCCTATGTTCCAGCACCTATATTGTAGCCCTATGTTCCAGCCCCTATATTCTAGCACCTACGTTCCAGCCCCTATATTGTAGCCCTATGTTCCAGCCCTATATTCCCACCCCTATGTTTCCGCCCCTATATCCCAGTCCCTATGTTCCAGCCCCTATGTTCCAGCCCCTATGTTCCAGCCCCTATGTTCCAACACATATGATCCAGCCCCTATGTTCTAACCCCTATGTTCCAGCCCCTATATTCTAGCCTGTATGTTCCCGCCCCTATGTTCCCGCCCCTATATTGTAGCCCTATGTTCCAGCCCCTATATTCTAGCACCTACGTTCCAGCCCCTATATTGTAGCCCTATGTTCCAGCCCTATATTCCCACCCCTATGTTTCCGCCCCTATATCCCAGCCCCTATATTCTAGCCCCTTTGTTCCAGCCCCTATGTTGCAGCCCCTATGTTCCAACACATATGATCCAGCCCCTATGTTCTAACCCCTTGGTTCCAGCCCCTATATTCTAGCCTGTATGTTCCAGCCCCTATGTTCCAGCCCCTATGTTCCAGCCCCTATATTCTAGCCTGTATGTTCAAGTCCCTATGTTCCAGCCCCTATATTCTAGCCTGTATGTTCCAGCCCCTATGTTCCAGCCCCTATGTTCCAGCCCCTATATTCTAGCCTGTATGTTCAAGTCCCTATGTTCCAGCCCCTATATTCTAGCCTGTATGTTCCAGCCCCTATGTTCCAGCCCGTATGTTCCAGCCCCTATGTTCTAGCCCCTATGTTCTAGCCCCTATGTTCCAGCCCCTATATTCTAGCCCCTATGTTTTGACCATTAGCAAAACTTTCCCATTTCCCGATAGATTTCCCGGTGTTCAACTTGCTTGGTTAGCCGGACCTCGAACATATCTGTAGTTGACTCAATCAAATGTAAAGAATAATTTCACTAAACCAAGGTATTATTCAGTGTTGTAAATCTGTGATGATTGCTCATGATTCTGTTAACCGTACTCAGTTCACTAACTAACGCCGGCACAGGAGACAATGGATTAGTTCGGGGAGTATTTCTAGCTAGATTCCAGTTGCTAACTTTTACCGTGTCCTCGTTCACAAGGGACATTAGTGTGTAGCTAGCTATTCAGGAGTTGGATATACTGTTTCTTCCTCGAATCGTGTGTTGATCAGAGACCTTTCACAAATGATTCCCGGAAAACTGAAAGTGTCAACATTATTTGAGTAAATATTCTACAAACATGGAGACGCCTACAAACGGAGGTCGAATTCGTTCATGTCCGTATTTCCTACTGCCATCTTTTCCCAGCCATCTTGTCTGGCAAATGTTGGTCACAGTGACGTTGATGCAGCTGGGTCAAGGACAACTGGTCAAACAGTTCCCGCCCTTGTTCAATGCCGCCCAGGGACGACCCATCTCCACCAACCCTACAGACAGCACTTGCGGGCAGACAGCTAGGAGTGCCTACTGCTTTAGCTCAGTCAGTGTGGACTCCATCAACAGATGTATCCAAGGCTATTGCTACCAGGCATGCCCTGACAGGTCAGCCCCGCCCGCAGATTCTAGCGTTTTCTTCATGCTCATTGGTAAGTTGTTCGATTCTCCAATTGTGCTCATGACAGCATTTTGTGCACTATTTACTGGTTAGTTCGTTTTTACCGATTTATGAGTATTATTTTTTCCAGAAGAAGACTGCAGGTGCACACCAGGGGAGATAATGGACAACAATTAACACAGGACAGGTAACCGGTCCTTCATTGCATGGCGGTAGAACAGAACAGTTCCTACTGAGAACAGTTCCTACTGAAAACAGTTCCTACTGGGAACAAAACAGTTCCTACTGAGAACAGAACAGTTCCTACTGAGAACAGTTCCTACTGAAAACAGTTCCTACTGAGAACAGAACAGTTCCTACTGAGAACAGTTCCTACTGAGAACAGTTCCTACTGAGAACAGAACAGTTCCTACTGAGGACATACCAGTTCCTACTGAGAACAGAACAGTTCCTGCTGAGAACAGAACAGTTCCTACTGAGAACAGAACAGTTCCTACTGAGAACAGTTCCTGCTGAGAACAGTTCCTACTGAGAACAGTTCCTACTGAGAACAGTTCCTACTGAGAACAGTTCCTACTGAGAACAGTTCCTACTGAGAACAGTTCCTACTGAGAACAGTTCCTACTGAGAACAGTTCCTACTGAGAATGGTTCCTACAGATAACTTTTCCCCTGTATTTTTGTTTCTTTCTAGTAAGATTTCGTTTCTGTTAAAATGTTCCAACTGTCGCCTCTCATAAGATGGTCCAAAGTGCTTACTGACTCTTCCAGATTTTTGTGATAGGCTGTCGATTTGTTTTGACCTCCGCTCAATATTTGTATTGCTTGTCGTGCATTCTAATGTTTGTATTGCTTGTCGTGCATTCTAATGTTTGTATTGCTTGTCGTGCATTCTAATGTTTGTATTGCTTGTCGTGCATTCTAATGTTTGTATTGCTTGTCGTGCATTCTAATGTTTGTATTGCTTGTCGTGCATTCTAATGTTTGTATTGCTTGTCGTGCATTCTAATGTTTGTATTGCTTGTCGTGCATTCTAATGTGTTTTCTACATTTTCTGTAAACTCATATTTATGTATATTTATGAGATTTTCTGTGATTGTCTACTAAATGCCCATGATTGACAACCATGTTTAACAACCATGTTTAATATATAAAATTTGGCATGCTGTGTATCGAATAGACACCCACACAAACACACACCTAAGCATACAACCACACACACACACACACACATACACACACACACACACAGCCGTCACAGTACAGGTGACAGAATGCGCCTGAACCTTTGTGTTCCGCTAAATTGTTCCTTTCAGCTCCATGATTCCAAATACCCGCCCCTCTGACATGCAGTGCTGGTTGCATCTCCTTCCCACTCACACCTTTTTCATTTTAAAGAAACAACAGCTGAAGAAGAAAACGTCATAAAACTGTCAGTGATCGCTAGATCGCTACCTTTCACTTCCAACTTTCCAACTGATGTGAGACATTTCAGTTGTTCCCTTCTCATAGCGCCCAAAACGATGCGGGATGAATTGGTTGCTGTTCTGAAGGCACTAGAAATGATACCCCTCCAGAAAGGTTGACTGTTTCAGCGGTCTCCTTGTCTACGCTTATGGCTCTTACAAATATCAAGATATGTTGTATAAATGACATCACAGAGGAGATTTTCTGGACCACAAATTATCTAACAACAAAAGGATGCTCAGTACTAACTATGTGGGTGTCAGCACATGTGGCTGTCAGCACATGTGGGTGTCAGCATAAGTGGGAATTGCAGGAAATGAAAGGGCAGACAAAAAAGAAAAACAGGGCAAAATAAATAAGAATAAAATACGTGTAACTGTCTGTCAGTCAGAAACACTAAGTATACTGCAAGTGTGTCAGTCAGAAACACTAAGTGTACTGCAAGTGTGTCAGTCAGAAACACTAAGTGTACTGCAAGTGTGTCAGTCAGAAACATTAAGTGTACAGCAAGTGTGTCAATCAGAAACACTAAGTGTACAGCAAGTGTGTCAATCAGAAACACTAAGTGTACAGCAAGTGTGTCAATCAGAAACATTAAGTGTACAGCAAGTGTGTCAGTCAGAAACACTAAGTGTACTACAAGTGTGTCAATCAGAAACACTAAGTGTACAGCAAGTGTGTCAGTCAGAAACACTAAGTGTACTACAAGTGTGTCAATCAGAAACACTAAGTGTACAGCAAGTGTGTCAATCAGAAACACTAAGTGTACAGCAAGTGTGTCAATCAGAAACACTAAGTGTACTGCAAGTGTGTCAGTCAGAAACACTAAGTGTACAGCAAGTGTGTCAATCAGAAACACTAAGTGTACAGCAAGTGTGTCAATCAGAAACATTAAGTGTACAGCAAGTGTGTCAATCAGAAACACTAAGTGTACAGCAAGTGTGTCAATCAGAAACATTAAGTGTACAGCAAGTGTGTCAATCAGAAACACTAAGTGTACAGCGAGTGTGTCAATCAGAAACACTAAGTGTACAGCGAGTGTGTCAATCAGAAACACTAAGTGTACAGCAAGTGTGTCAATCAGAAACACTAAGTGTACTGCAAGTGTGTCAGTCAGAAACACTAAGTGTACAGCAAGTGTGTCAATCAGAAACACTAAGTGTACAGCAAGTGTGTCAATCAGAAACACTAAGTGTACTGCAAGTCTGCCAGTCAGAAACACTAAGTGTACAGCAAGTGTGTCAATCAGAAACACTAAGTGTACAGCAAGTGTGTCAATCAGAAACACTAAGTGTACTGCAAGTCTGCCAGTCAGAAACACTAAGTGTATAGCAAGTGTGTCAATCAGAAACACTAAGTGTACTGCAAGTCTGCCAGTCAGAAACACTAAGTGTACAGCGAGTGTGTCAATCAGAAACACTAAGTGTACAGCAAGTGTGTCAATCAGAAACATTAAGTGTACAGCAAGTGTGTCAGTCAGAAACACTAAGTGTACTACAAGTGTGTCAATCAGAAACACTAAGTGTACAGCAAGTGTGTCAATCAGAAACACTAAGTGTACAGCAAGTGTGTCAATCAGAAACACTAAGTGTACTGCAAGTGTGCCAGTCAGAAACACTAAGTGTACAGCGAGTGTGTCAATCAGAAACACTAAGTGTACAGCAAGTGTGTCAATCAGAAACACTAAGTGTACAGCAAGTGTGTCAATCAGAAACACTAAGTGTACTGCAAGTGTGCCAGTCAGAAACACTAAGTGTACAGCAAGTGTGTCAATCAGAAACACTAAGTGTACTGCAAGTCTGCCAGTCAGAAACACTAAGTGTACAGCGAGTGTGTCAATCAGAAACACTAAGTGTACAGCAAGTGTGTCAATCAGAAACATTAAGTGTACAGCAAGTGTGTCAGTCAGAAACACTAAGTGTACTACAAGTGTGTCAATCAGAAACACTAAGTGTACAGCAAGTGTGTCAATCAGAAACACAAAATTTACAGCAAGTGTGTCAATCAGAAACACTAAGTGTACTGCAAGTGTGTCAGTCAGAAACACTAAGTGTACAGCAAGTGTGTCAATCAGAAACACTAAGTGTACAGCAAGTGTGTCAATCAGAAACATTAAGTGTACAGCAAGTGTGTCAATCAGAAACACTAAGTGTACAGCAAGTGTGTCAATCAGAAACATTAAGTGTACAGCAAGTGTGTCAATCAGAAACACTAAGTGTACAGCAAGTGTGTCAATCAGAAACACTAAGTGTACAGCGAGTGTGTCAGTCAGAAACATTAAGTGTACTGCAAGTCTGTCAGTCAGAAACATTAAGTGTACTGCAAGTGTGTCAGTCAGAAACATTAAGTGTACAGCAAGTGTGTCAGTCAGAAACACTAAGTCACAGCAAGTCTATACAGTGTGAACCTGGTCTTCTCATATCTGCAGCTACAAGTCCTGGCACGGGAGACTGCATCCTCTCTGACACAATCAACGTGCGACCAGGCACTGTCCTGGGTCAGTACTCTACCCAGATTGCTCGGACAGGACCCAGCTGTTTCCTGACCCCATCCCAATCTCCCAGACTGGACGCTAGCGGCGTTGTGGCTTTTACAGTGACCAGCTGGGTGTGGCTGGACTCGACAACCAGAGGGTGAGTACACTCTTATTTCTCTGCCGAACGTATAGGATACCACTCGGGACAACGGTTTAGATGCTTATTCTTTATGAGGGAACGTTTTGTAAGATAACTATCCATGTCACGATTAGCTTTTACGCATACTTGTTCTCACCTACGCGTCTCTGCCAAATTCTACAATGTTTATCGTCCACCGTTATTGATAGAGCTAAAACAATGCTTTCTGCTAGCACAAAGAGCTAAAACAATGCTTTCTGCTAGCACAAAGAGCTAAAACACTGCCTACTGCTAGCACAAAGAGCTAAAACACTGCCTACTGTTAGCACAAAGAGCTAAAACAATGCTTACTGCTAGCAAAAAATGATCAAACAACGCCTACTGCTAGCACAAAGAGCTAAAACACCGCCTACTGCTAGCAAAAAGAGCTAAAACACAGCGGACATAGGTAGAACTAAGAGACACAGAAAATATGAACACATACTATAGTTGCAGTCCGTCATATTTAACTCGTGTCTGTGTCCTGCCGCCGTATCCAAAAGTCATGTTTTTGATTCTATTGCCTTCTGTCTCACTGGAGCATAGGCGCTCAACCAATTCACGCCATACTCTCGTACAATTTCCTGTCTTGTGCAACCGTATCTCTGGCTTACTTAATGAATTTTTTTTTCCCTGGCTTTCTAATCCATGCGATGACCTGTCAACCATGTAAGCACCATGTGGCACGTTGGCGGCGTTAGTAGGGAGGTTTTAGAAACAGTTTCCATGTGGTGTTCAAAGGGTCATCATCAATACTCATCGAATCTTTCAGTCTATGTAGTCTCCAGTTCGCGACATCTTTCGGTGTCTAGCGGCGGCGACATCTTTCAGTGTCAATCGGCTGGTAACATCTTTCAGTGTCTAGCGGCGGCGACATCTTTCAGTGTCAATCGGCTGGTAACATCTTTCAGTTTAGCGGCTGGTAACATCTTTCAAAGCGGGGTAACATCTTTCAGTGTCTAGCTGCTGGTACTTTCAGTGTTGAATCTTCTTTCAGTGTCAATATGGTACATCTTTCAGTGTCAATCGGCTGGTAACATCTTTCAGTGTCTAGCGGCTGGTAACATCTTTCAGTGTCTAGCGGCTGGTAACATCTTTCAGTGTCTAGCGGCTGGTAACATCTTTCAGTGTCTAGCGGCTGGTAACATCTTTCAGTGTCAAGCGGCGGCGACACAGTTCTCGGTTGACCGACTATCCTTGATAATTTTTTTTCTTTGGTCTTTTGCGGCTTCAGCCTTGATGACATGCTGTTCTTGCCGTCTGTTCAAAGTTGTCGACACACACGTATAACGTGACTGGTGAATTTCATCCGTCTGTTTCTCCGAGCACTGTTGCACTATTTCTTGTGACACTAAAATCGGGAGTTTGTTGTCCATACAGTAGAAAGACCCCGATCTGTTGTCCATACAGCAGAAAGACCCCGATCTGTTGTCCATACAGCAGAAAGACCCCGATCTGTTGTCCATACAGCAGAAAGACCCCGATCTGTTGTCCATACAGCAGAAAGACCCCGATCTGTTGTCCATACAGCAGAAAGACCCCGATCTGTTGTCCATACAGCAGAAAGACCTCGATCTGTTGTCCATACAGCAGAAAGACCCCGATCTGTTGTCCATACAGCAGAAAGACCCCGATCGGTTGTCCATACAGCAGAAAGACCTCGATCTATTGTCCATACAGCAGAAAGACCCCGATCGGTTGTCCATACAGCAGAAAGACCCCGATCTATTGTCCATACAGCAGAAAGACCCCGATCTGTTGTCCATACAGCAGAAAGACCCCGATCTGTTGCCCATACAGCAGAAAGGCTCTCAAAATATTGGAGCAATTCTTGTTGGAAATCTCTGCCATATTTCTATATATACAATGCTATGATTGTTCTAACTTAGCTACATCGTATCAGTCAAGCTGGACTGAATACACAGAGAACCTATTTTCGGATAACAGAGATATCGCACCAGAACCGTTTCATCTTCAGGGTGGACCAAACATTTCAAAGCTGAAGTGGTGAAGGTGATTACAAATATGCGGCAGGGAAAAGACCCAGGTTCTTATAAAATTACAACGGAAATAATAAAATCACAATTCAGCTTTCGCGATGAAAGCATCACTGAAAAGTGTAATGATATTGATAAAATTGGCTAAATTCCAAGAGATTTGAAAACGTCAATTTCCATCACACTGCCCAAAAAGTCAAAAGCCGTTGAGTGTGAAGAATACAGAACAGTGTGATGAGCCACATAACTAAAGTACTTCTCAAGATCATTCAAGAAAGAATTCAGAGTAGAATAAATAAATAAGTGTCTGAGGAACAGTTTAGATTTAAGAAAACTAGTTGCACTAGGGAAACCATAATTTGTTTAGGAAGCTGATTCAAAAATATATGGAAGTCCAGAAAAGTATTTATGCATGTTTCATAGATTACAAGAAAGCCTTTGACAGAGAGCAACATAAGAAGCTTATGGCAAGCCTCTAAAATATAGGATTACATGGAAAGGATATCATAATTACTAGTAACCTACACTAGGAACAAACAACAGCAGTCAGACACAACAACGTCACCTCACCACAGATAGAGATAAAAGGGAGCAGTACGTCAGGGATCTGTGTTATCCCCAAGCCTTTTCAACTGATAAACAGAAAACATTTTAAAACAGGCCGAGGAATTGCCTGGACTGAATATTAACGGAAGAACAATAAGCAGTCTGTGATACGCGGATGACACAGTGCTACTTGCAGCAAGCCATCAGAACTAGAACAACTCAAGAGTGTGGTTTAGACAATAACATTTAAAAAGCAAACAACTATGGTAATTAATAACGGAAAAGAGCGGCCAACAGTGAACATCAAGGTAAACAGAGACTATGTAACAAGTTTCTGCTAGCTAGGACACATAGTAACAGATGATGGCAGAAGCGAACCAAAAATCAAAGAGAGGATAGAAATGGCTAAAACTGTCTTTAATAAGATGCGCACGTCTCTGACAGCTAGAGAGATAAACAACACGCTAAAAATAGAATCGTCACATGTTTTGTATATATACTCTGTCCTATTATATGGTGCAGAAACGTTTACAATGAACACGCACTAAAAGACATAACACACTTTTATAAACCATACTGGAGGGAAAGGTCAAATGCAAGAGAGCTAGAGGTAGGCAACGATACAAGTGGGAGGACAACATAAAGAGATGGACGGGCGGCAGTCTGAGAGAGTGTACAACCAGGAGAAGAGACAGAGCATGTTGGAGATCCATTACAGCCAACCTTTACTGTGGAGACGGCACCTCACTGATGACTGATCAGTCGTGTTGGAATTAAAAAATGTTCAGGGATAATGTTAGGGATGTTTCTTCTGGTGGGATTCTGTCTAGTTGTATTTAACAACCATTCTCTCCGCTTAATGGTCAGGCAAGGAATCGATAAACTATGTCCAGAAAACAGAACAATTTCGGCGCCCATTATAATGTAATAAACTATTTAACTTTGAACAAAACAAAACAAAACAAAAAAATATTTCTTGAACTAATCCATTCGGCCAAATGCAAACACTGATAGATGGACGCAGATGTCGCACTTGGACTTGTGACTGCAAGGCTGTAATGATTTCTGGCGACAGATTGAACAATGTACAGAGCTGTAGACTGAACGTTGTCAGCAAACTGTAGAGACGGATTGAACAATGTACAGAGCTGTAGACTGAACGTTGTCAGCAAACTGAAGAGACGGATGTCAGTCCGTCACACAAACAACACTTGACGCGAAGTACAGGTCAGCTTAAAGGGGAGTTTCTTTACTAACACCGCTGCGTCATCATTTTGTATCAAGAAAAGATATAAAACAGAACAAAAAGTATATCAGCTAGCTTCACAATATAACAATCACAAACAAAAAGTGAAAGTTGCGGCTATAGAGCCTTCATCAGCACATACACAAATCAAACAATACCACACAAATACACAAAATCACTTAGCTTAGTATCTGGAATCAGCCAGGACAATGTCTTGCCACTAGACTGACGAGACACGTGTGGGACAGAAGAATAAATACCCCTGGGAAATGCCAGGGCCGTAACTAGAGGGTTTTAGACAAAACTGTGTTGGCAGTTTCAATCCTCTAGGTGAAAATAAAGGGATTTTCAAGGGACTAGCGGATTCTGTCGCTGGAGTGGCTAGATTTCATGGCTGTCACCTCCATGTCGAGGACACCTTGGTGATCCTGGGAATTAA